TCTGAGCTATAGTCCCAGCTCTTTTTTGGTTTTTTTTTCCGGTACTGGGAACCGAACTCATGACCTTGTGCTTGTCAGGCAGGCACTGTGCCACTGAGCTAAATCCCCAGCCCCTGCTGTGGTTTATTTGGTTGCTTGGTTGATTGGTTGATTGAGATAAGATTGTGCTATCTAGCCAGCATTACCCTAGACTTCCTGGCAGTCCTGCCTTAGCTTCCTGAGTGCTGGGATCACAGGTGTAGGCCACCAATCTGGCTCCTTGTTCTGTGTATTAATTAACATGTGTCTGTGTGTTTGTGTTGTTCGGGGATGTGCACACTCACAGTTAGTGGGGGGCAGCTGTGTCTCATGGATCTTCTTCTTTAGCTGTGTCCACTCAGGACCCTGCTTGTCTCCAAGAGTCAGAATTCCCTCTTTCTTCAAAGCGCCATTCCTGTTCCCAGGACTTGGACCTGTTTGCATGCCATGGTCTGGAGCCTCACACACCCGCCAGGGATTCTAATCAGGTACGAGGGATCTCCAGGGCCCGGGAGTGGGTGGGGCATTCATTTCCTAGAAGGCCCCCAGTGGCACAGGTTGGAATTTTATAAGATCTTCAGCCAGGGCCCAGGAGGGAGCCAAGGAGTACTGGACGGCTGACCTGTCATTGGGAGGCCTGAGGGAGTGTTTGTGCACCAGGTATCCCTCGTGTGCTTGCACGGGTCCACCTGTGTCCCACCTCAAGGACAGGAACATAAAACGAATACACTCAGATGAGCCTAGAAGTGAAGTGTGACTTGGTGCCTTGTCTGATTGCATTTAAAGCGAGGGGATGGGGAAGATCACCCTGTAGGGAGAAGGAGATATCTAGGGACATCAGCTGCTGAGCCGCCGCTGAGACCCACAGCACACCACCTGTGTCAAGTGTCTCGTGCCATCTTCAGCCTCTGCCGCCCTCCTGTGAACACTGGTGGACTGGGTTGTGCCTGACCCCGAATCTGTGTGGCATTTCAGGAATCCGTGACTTTCCAGGACGTGGCTGTGGACTTTACTGAGAAGGAGTGGCCCCTCCTGGATCACTCTCAGAGGAAGCTGTACAGAGACGTGATGCTGGAGAACTACAGCAACCTGACCTCACTGGGTAAGCCTGGCCTCTGGTCCCCACTTGGCTGGTCTGGAATCAGCGGTTTTGTTCTGAGTAGTCAGGGGTGTGTGGCCCTAGTGAGAACCAGTACAGATGGGCCCACCTTCCTGGTGTCTCCTGGGGGCATTGAGAACTGTTTATCATGTTGACCTTGGAGGTTCTCAGTGAGTGTGAACTTAGGCACAGGTTTCTGAGCTTCAAGAATCCTCACTCTCGGGCTGGGGACGTGGCTCAGTGGTGGGGCACTTGGCCAGCATGCGCAAGGCCCTTGGTTCTATCCCCAGCACCATCACCACCCAAAAAAAAAATCCCCATTCTTTTGGAGGGTAAAAATGCGTGGGAATTCAAGGTTTTGTTTCTTATGAAAGACTTTTTACTGTGTTCCTTAGAAATGTGAGACCATCATTTTGCTGCTCCTAAGTCAAACTTGTCTATCTTCAGAACCCCGAAGACCAAAATGTTGAGCCCAGATTAATGGAAGGGGTTGTCCTCTGCACAGTCCTCCCTCAACATGTGTCTTTCCCCGTGAGTAGGGTATCAGGTTGGAAAACCCAGCCTCATCTCTCACTTGGAGCAAGAAGAGGAGCTGAGGACTGAGGAGAGGGGGACTCAACAAGGGGCTTGCGCAGGTGAGCCAGTGCTATGGTTTATCCCGTGTGTTAAGAGCTGATTGGATCATGAGGTCTCTGACTTCACCAAGTAGATTAATCCACCGATGAATTTATTAGCTAACTGGGCCTGTTGCTTTATGGAGCCTAACTGGATGAAGTAGTCACTGGGAGGGGGCTTTGAAGGGTGTATTCTGTTCCCCTCTCCTTCCACTCTCGCTTTTTCTCTGCTTCCTGGCTGCCAGGAGGTGAGTAGCTTTCTTCCCCCGGGACATTTCTGCCTCGCCACAGGCCTGAAAGCAATTGAGCCAGGTCACCAGTGACTGAAACCTCAAAAATCGTGAGCCAGAATAAACCTTTCCTCCTTTAAGTTGTTTTCCTTGGGTATTTGCTCACAGCGATGGCAAGCTGACCAACACAGTGAGCAGCAGGCAAATAGAAGTGCATTTTGACTTCAGCTCTAGCTAGTGATTGGAGTAGAAGGCATATACCGGCCGAATTCAGTGTTCCTCACAAAATCTGTGAGGGTGGATAACATAGAAAGAAGATCACTTATATGTATTTAGTTCATAGTGGTGAAGTCCTAGCAAGTTCCCCGCCTAGATGAGCCTGGCACATGTCACCATGGCAAGAGCCTGTCTGAGAGGGAGAGGCCCCGTGGTGAGACAGAAAGCCAGAGACCAAGGAAGGGCTGGTCTTTCTGTTTTCATAACAGCCCACTCTTGCGAGGACCGGCTACTTAGGGAGACCAACATTGACCCATCCGAGGCACCACCTCGCTTACCTGACCCCTCCCACCAGACTGCACCACACTGAGGACCAAGCCTCCAACCCATGAACCCCTGGGGGACACATGACCTCCGGACCTTGGCAGGGAGGTACATGAGGCAATTGCCCCCAGGGACATTAGAAAATATGCTCTCTCTTCTGTCCTTTCTTACAAATCCTTCAGTCTGAACTGTGTTTCCACATGGAATCTTTGTTTCATCCTTTTATACGAGAACTTCCTGGTGATACTCCTGTTAGCAGCTTGGTGTGGTGACTCACACCTTTAATCCCAGCACTTGAGAGGCTGAGGCAAGAGGATCACTGAGTTCAAGGCCAGTCTGAACTACATGAGACTCTCAAAAAACAGCAAAAATTTTTTAAAAAATTCTTATCAATGTCAGTCTGAATGGACTTACAGTTTTTCTTCTCCAAGTTTCCAACAGTCATTCTGCTGTCCTGTATGTTTCCCTTTTGCTTTGCTTATCTTTGTGTACAGTTAGTATCTGCAAAAATGCCCACCTGTGTTTTTCCCTGTCATCCCACCATTGTCCTTTTTCCAGCAAGTTAGTATTTTTCCAACTTGTTTCAGATTGGGAAACTCCATCTAAAACCAAGTGGTCAATTCTCATGGAAGATATATTTGGGAAGGAAACGTCCCGTGGTGTGACAATGGTAAGAGTTCCTTAGAATAATTGGGGATTTTCCACGTTACGGGGCACTGGGGCTGTTATAGTTGGAAAACAGCAACAAGGTGTGGTGGTGCAGGCTTGGAATCCCAGCACTGTGGGAACTTGAGGCAGGACTGTGAGTTTGAGCCCAGCCTGGGTGACTTAAGAGTAAAATTGTTAAAGGGGCTGAGGATGTAACTGTGTTCATGGAGGCCCTGGGTTCAGTACCCAGTACCACCCAAGAAAAAGAAAAAAGCACATCAGAACCAGTTATATAGCCTCCCTAAGAGGAAGCATTTTGTAGTTATCCACTGTTCTTGAGTACCGTGGTCCTTGGTACCTGCAGGGAGCTGGTTCCACAGCACACTGCAGATGCCATTATCTGCAAGTGCTCAAGGTCCTTATTTAAAATGGCATGCTTTTATACTGGACCTACGTGTGCTTATAGGCTTTTTAATTATCTCTAGATTGTCTATATAACAATAGCTGTAAATGATATGTAAGTAGTTTTATTGTGCAGGTAATAATCACAAGAACATAAATACATGTTCAGTGCACAATGCAATGATTTTTTTCCTCAAATATTTTGAGACCATTGTTGGTTGGAATCTGGATGCAGAAACCAGAGGGCTAACAGTGTTGTCGATTTGGACAAAATAATAAACCCAGCCTCAGACTTCTTCACTAAGGGTTCTATCCCGTGACTTATCTCAGATACTCAGTGCTGGGGTTCGGTTTGGGGTGTGTCTGTGTGTAGTACTATGGATTGAACCTAGCGCCTTGCACGTGTTAGGCACGTGGTCTGCCACTGAGCTTCATCCCCGGTGCTTTCTTTTAATTTTGAGAGAGTCTTGCCAAGTTCCCAGGCCGTGTTCTCCTGCCTCAGTTTCCTAAGTAGCTGGGATTAACAAGCATGTGTTAACCACAGTTGGCCTCATCTTGGTTTTAAACACTGAGCAAACTGCACAAAAGCTTTAGGACAGGAGCACACATGGAGCCTTACAGAGCAGCGTTCACGTCCTGTTCTCTTTGGTAGAGCTCAGAGGACTTTTCTGGTCCTCATGACATTTCTGGTCAGGGCGCTGTGCTGCTGTTCTTCAGGGTGCAGGGGTCGTGGCTGAGACCCGGAGGGGCCGGGGTAGCTTAGCATGCAGGAAGCCTTGGGGTCAGGCTAGAGGCTGAGCCAGAGAGAAGAGCGCAGTGAAGGTGGGAAGTGCCAGTCAGCTGTCATCTTACAACCCACAGGACAGAGCTCGCCTTGGGGAGAAGTCCGCGGAGTATGAGCGCTTGTTTGAAGTCTTCAGCGTGGGCGCTCACCTCACACAGCAGATGGGAAGGCACGCGGGCAGGAGGCCCTATCCCCGCCACAGCTTCGCGGTGGCCTTCAAAAGCAGGACTCGCCTCTCTCAGCACTTGAGCATGTACGACGGGCGGAAGATGCACGAGTGCCACCAGTGCCAGAAAGCCTTCACCACCAGCGCGTCCCTCACGCGGCACCGGAGGATCCACACCGGGGAGAAGCCCTACGAGTGCCGGGACTGCGGGAAGGCCTTCAACGACCCATCGGCCCTCCGCAGTCACTCGCGAACCCACCTCAAGGAGAAGCCCTTCGACTGCAGCCAGTGCGGCAACGCCTTCCGCACGCTGTCTGCTCTGAAGATCCACATGCGGGTGCACACGGGCGAGCGGCCCTACAAGTGCGACGAGTGCGGCAAGGCCTACGGCCGCAGCTGCCACCTGATCGCGCACAAGCGCACGCACACCGGGGAGCGGCCCTACGAGTGCCAGGACTGCGGCAAGGCCTTCCAGCACCCCTCGCACCTGAAGGAGCACGTGCGCAACCACACCGGGGAGAAGCCCTACGCGTGCACGCTGTGCGGCAAGGCCTTCCGCTGGAAGTCCAACTTCAACCTGCACAAGAAGAACCACACGGTGGAGAAGACCTACGCCTGCAAGGAGTGCGGCAAGGCCTTCGGGGACCTGGTGTCGCGGCGGAAGCACATGAGGAGTCACGTCGTGAAGAAGCCCGTGGAGTGCCGCCAGTGCGGGAAGGCCTTCCGCAACCAGTCCATCCTGAAGACGCACATGAACTCGCACACCGGCGAGAAGCCCTACGGCTGCGACCTGTGCGGGAAGGCCTTCAGCGCCAGCTCTAACCTCACCGCGCACCGGAAGATACACACGCAGGAGCGGCGCTACGAGTGCGCGGCCTGCGGCAAGGTCTTCGGCGACTACCTGTCCCGCAGGAGGCACATGAGCGTGCACCTGGTGAAGAAGCGGGTGGAGTGCCGCCAGTGTGGCAAGGCCTTCCGCAACCAGTCCACCCTCAAGACGCACATGCGGAGCCACACCGGCGAGAAGCCCTACGAGTGTGAGCACTGCGGCAAGGCCTTCAGCATCGGCTCCAACCTCAACGTGCACAGGCGGATCCACACCGGCGAGAAGCCCTACGAGTGCCTGGCCTGCGGGAAGGCCTTCAGCGACCACTCGTCCCTGCGGAGCCACGTGAAAACCCACCGCGGCGAGAAGCTCTTCGCCGCCTCCGTGTGGAAGAGGCTGCAGTGAGCGCTCAGACCAGAAGGAAGCTGCAGAGGTGCGAGGGAGGTGGGAACCCTTCCTGGAGCTGGATGTGGTGGCAAAGGCCTGGGATCCCGGCACTCGGAGGCTGAGACAGGCGGCTTGTGAGTCCGAGGCCAGCCTGGGTTACAACGTGGCAAGATCCTGCGTCAGCCCAGCAAAGTAAAACAAGAGGTGCGTGGAATGTGGAAGTCCAGCTTGTGCGGAGCTTGTAAGAACTGAGCTATTTCACATGGGAGACCTTTTGGAGGAAGAGGATGTGTGTCTGCCCTGGAGTCACCTTGGGGTATATCAGGCTCTTAAACACAGAAGGTTGGGAGAGAAACCCCAGCCCCAGTTGTCAGTAACTTCAGTGGTTCTCACCTTCTGGTCACAGAAGAGAGGGCCTCTGTCAAGAATGGCCGCTGGAAAAGCCTTTCCTGGTCTCCCTGTGTTCGTTCAGCGACATCACCAGAGAAAAATCCAGGAAGTAAGGTTTGTGGGGAATTCTACAAATGCAGGGAGCACACCACGCGCAGCTGTCTGATTTTGTGTGGCTCACAAGCTAATCGTAGTCCTTCTGTTTCCAAAGAGGCAGCACAGGAGAGAGATGGCGTGTGGTCTTTAAAGCCTAGGACGTTAGCTGTTGACCGAAAAGCTTGGCCTGTCCTTGGTCGTAGAATGGCTTTCACCTGGGTTTAGTTTTGCCACCCAAGGGAGATTTGGCAACACAGGAGACAGTTTTGGGTGAAGCACAGGGGAGAGGTGCTACCGCCACATCCCCGGAAAACACCAGAATGGTGCCGAGTTTCCTGCCATCCACAGGAATCCCCCACCCTATGAACTGCGTGCCCTCAAAAATCAGTCTTCCGGAGGAGAACGATCCCAGTTCTTCCTCAGTTACGGTGTGCAGTAACCCTTCCGTGTCTGTGCTTCTTGGGGCCAGTTCTGCTGGGAGAACTTTACTTTAAAAATCCCAGTTCTGCTGGGAGGACTTTACTTTAAAAATCGAAAATCACAAGGTTTTCAGGAAACATGTGAGACTTAGCCTGCTCGTGACTGCTGTGTGGAAAGGATTTCGGCCTCCGTCCCCTCACCTGTGCATGTTTGGATCTCGATGGGAGGGAAACCCTGAGGTGTTCTCCGGAGATCTCCAGACCGCACCTAACAGTCTTCGGTCCCGAAAACAGACCCCAGCGAATAAACTTTTCCCTTTATTTTTGAGATTATGCTCCTCTCGTTAACCCTTAGGCCTCATCATAAAAGGTTTGTATATAATATTTTTACTAGAACTTCATTCTTGACATGTCTTTACTTCCTTTTGGATAACTTCATTGACCGATGGTCTGTTCAGGATTGTGTTTACGTGCTGAGCAATGTGGATATTTCTCAGTACCCGTTACTGCTGTCTGGAATGCATTGTGATCAGAGCATGAAATCTCCATCACCTGGACCTTTCCCTGTGTTTGTAGCCTCCCATGCAGCCAAAGGGGCATAGGCTTCTACCTGTTTCCTGTGCATCTACTGTCATCTTCCATGTCAGAAGAACCCATGTTCTGTTGGGCTAGTAAGGTGTGCTGTTCTGAAGAATCCCTGACAGATTTTCTGGAAGTATCTCCTATCCGTGTCACATAACACTGGTCACGTTGGCAAATAAGCAGTGGTGACTGAGGATTTCTGAGAAAAAGCTCTTGATCAGGGGTCCTCCCTGCCTGGGTTCTTCTCCACATTTTGTTCTTTACTCTTTCCCATGTCTCACCGTGCAAGGACTTTGTCCTTAGTATTACAAGGTCAGCATTGTGACCATGAGGATGAAGGCTTCTAAGAACACTGCTGCAGAGTCACAGTGATTCTGGTCTCCCTTGGCTTCCTGGAGTATCTGCATTAACTCTGGATTTATTACTTCCAGACTTCCTGTTATACAAGAAAAAAATAAAGTGATCACTTGTTAAGGTGCTATGCATATCTCTTTGTGATCCGTTTGCTTTATTTACTGGTGGGAAGAAGGTTCCTCACTTCGCTAGATGCTGCCTAGAATCCTTGCTTCTGAATAATGCTTCTTTAAATTTTTTATTCTGGCACTAGGGATAGAACTTGGGATCCTCTACCACAGAGCTGCATCCTCAGCCCTTTTTTTACTTTACTTTTTTTTTTTGTTTTTGGTTTTTGGGGATAGGATCTTGCTATTTTTCAGGGTGGTCTTGAACTCACTATGTAGCCCAAGCTGGCTTCAAACTCACGGCCACCCTCCTGCTTCAGCCTCTCGAGTGCTGGGATTACAGGTGTTTGCTTCCACAGCTGTCCTTGAAATCACAGTGATCCTCTTGTGTTGACCTCCCAAGTGCTGGGTTTCCAGGTGTGCACTACCACACTTGTCTAAGCACTGGGCTCTTACAGTCTTGCTTTCAAGGGCAGTTGAATCTGCATTTTTAGTCTGCTAAGTCCATACACTTTTACCTGGTTTGGCCTCTAAGGTCTTAATCATGTTTTTATGGCTTTGGGGATTGAACCCAGAAGTTCAGTCACACTAGGCCAGTACTGTACCCTGAGGTACAACACCAGCCCTCTTATTAATTTGTCTGTCTTGTCTATTTACTTATTTTGTTTAGACAGGGTCTCTAAGTTGCCCAGGCTGGTTTCAAGCTTGAGGTCCTCCTGCTTCAATTTCTCGAGTAATTGGAATTACAGGCATGACCCAACACACCTGGGCAAGATCTTAATCGTTTGCCCCAGAAAATCCTTCAGTTTAAGCAACATGAGGTCCACTATGTGTTTTTAGTCCACAGCTAATTTACTGATTTGAGAAAAGCTAATGCTTAAATCAACCCAGTTACTTCTCAAGAATCTAAATAAACAGTCTACTTTTCCCGACAGCAAATTCTGACCTGGGGTCTTAACAGTTACCTCAGCTAACATTTGTGATCATATTTTTTAGTAGTTTTTCTACCTCACTCAAGGAAAGTGCAGATGTGTGGTAACCACTGTTCTTCCTACCTCCTTAGGAAGGCAGTCTTCACCCTTGTGCACTGGAAGGGATGGGTGAGCCTACTAAGCTGGCAACTGGAACAAGAGTGTTGGGCTCACTTGGACTGTCATGCTCACTTGAACTGTTGGGCTCACTTAGGCTCCCGGTTCATTTCATGTCTGAGCTCAGTACATGGTGGACAGGAGCTGGGTCAGGGGCTTCCATGTGGCTACCTGAAGCCTGGGATTCTCCCTGACTACTTGTAGGCTTTGGGTGTGTGCCCAGGGGCAGTGGCACAAGCCCTGAGCAAAAGTGCTGAGTGTCCCCCAGGCTTCAGTTAAAGTTTTCCTGGACTCATTAGTGATAAGTAGCAGTCACTAGTTCTTGCTTAGGGTTAGAAAATAGAATGTGTGCCCTGGAGGTTGGGCCTCAAGGGAAGGGCCACTTTCTCTTTGCATTAAGTGAAATAGGGCTGTTTCTCTAATTAGGAGCCTTGGGAGTTGCGCACAGGGTTCCCTCTGTGGCCAATTCCTTCATCACAGCAGTTGTCAAGGCTAAGACATAATGAGTTTCCACCTAACCTATACTAAGTGGGCCAGGGTTCTCAAATCTGATTGCACTTTCCTGAGTTCTCAGGGTAGACTACCTCTCAGCCTCTCTGGAGGCCCTTCTAATTACACCTTAAACTGGTCTTTCTCTTGTCCTCATGCCTGCAGCCTCTCCAGCAGGGCTCCCTCATGTCTCCTGTGACATTTGGGTAACTTCCAATCCACTCAGGAATGTTTCCCGGGCTGGGGATTTAGCTCAGCGGCAAAAGCGCCTGCCTGGCAAGCATAAGGTCATGAGTTCGGTTCCCGGTACCGGAGAAAAAAAACCAAAAAAAAAAAAAAAAAAGGAATGTTTCCCCTCTGGGGAACCTGCTGTATACAGAGTGAATATCAATCAGTTCACTTCCTTACACTTAAGTTGTGAGAAGATCGGGGTCATTAACATACAGTCCTGTACTCAATGGAATGAAGGTCCAAGGGGAAATGTCAAAACAAAGTAACTATTGTTGGAGTTAATTCATTGCTTCTCAGCCTTTTGGCTAAAATCAGGTGTTGGCGCTAATCCATTCAGGAGGCTCCAAGGAGAGGATGTTCAACCTGAGGCAGTCAGAGGCACGTGAAAGAGGTGAAACACTGATGGAGACCACTAGGAAGAAGCCCTGAGCAGGATTTAAATGAATCAGTTGATTTTTCATGTTTACTTGTGAGCCTGTCCAGGGCCTAGGTTCCTTGTTTGGAGATGGGTGGTGGACTCATAGTAAGTGAACCTCCGTGAGTCACTAATCCCTACAAAGGCCTGTAATGGCAGATGAAATGAGAAAGCCTCAGAGGATAAGACAAGATCACAGCCAAGGATACCTGGATCCAACCTCAACAAGATAAGACTGTAGCCTCAGGCATGTCACTCTTCGTGGATTAATTTAATACCTTATTTGGAGAAGTCCTTGAGTGGTTCCACCCTTTTTGAGTACTCTCCTCCCTTCTGATAACTAAATAAATGTGGGCCACCTAGAGAAGGTCTTGGTCTTAGCCCTAAGAGAATCTCAAATTCTGTGAGAGGGCTTTGATCCTCCTGGAGCCCTGAAATCATTCCATTCGCCTCTTTTTAGTTAGCCTTTGCTGTATACTCATTCGGGAGATTGTGGACCTGATCAGCCCGCAATAACTAAGGGGTATTATTAACCTGATAATACACTAAGTTGTAAGAGGCTTTTATTAAAGAGTATTTAGGAAAAAGCTGGGAAGCTGGGGGTGGTGATGTCTGAACAAAAAATAACTATTAGAGTTAATCCATTCAGGAGGCTCCAGTGAAGGGATATTCAGCCTGAGGCAGTCAGGCACACACAGAGGTGATGGAGCTAAGTTTTTTAAGGCTTTTATTGAGAGTACGGAAAAAGCTGGAGGTAGCAGCACACACTTGTCACCCCAATACTCAGGAGGCTGAGGCAGGATGATTGCTATGAGTTCTAGGCCAGCCTGAGTTCCATAGCAAGACTGTTTCAAACCAAAACAAGCAAACAAGAGTATTTAGGAACAGAATTGAATAATTATGCCACATCAGAATGCACAGGTACACACAGACTGTCAGATTTGTATGAAAAGGAGCACTGTAGTGGGAGATAAAAAGCCAGGCAGAGAAGGTGAGATGGGCTGTATAGCATAGCAACATATGTATCAATAAAGTTGTGCCTCGTAGTGCGGAGATGTGACATATGTGTGTCTAGATGGAAGTGAATTCATCACAGGAATATTAGTGCTCTTATCACACGCAAGAGGCAGTATAACCCTACAGAACTGCTATCACCCGTACATACACTTCTTTCAATACAGAGCAGCAGGGAGTGGTGGTGCCCACCTGTAATCCCCACCATTCAGGAGGCCGAGGTAGAGGTTAGCTATGAGTTTAAGACCAGCCTAGACTACATGATTCAAAACCAGCTGGCACTACAGAGCTACACACTGTATAAAAAAAAAAAAAAAGAATATATATATAGTTACATAGCATGTGATGTGTCCCCCTCAATTTATGTGATTTTTTTTTTGAAAACTTAATTTATGGTACTGAGAATTGAACCCAGGGCCTTCACATTGAGCAACAAAATCCCTAACCCTTTTTATTTTGAGACAGTGCATGGCTCAGTTGCTAAGTTACCTAGGGTGGGCTTGAACTTAGCGATCTTCCTGCCTCAGCCTCCAGGAGTGCTGGGATTCCAGGTGTGCACCACTGTACCCTAGCTCAATCGAAGTGTTAATTGGAGGGCTAGGTGTAGCTTAGTGGTAGAGCTCTTGCCTAGCATTCATGAGGCCCAGCGCCTCAAGAAAAAAAAGGGCGTGATTGATGGGATTCCATTGATACTTGATTTGCAGTTCTGCACAGTTACCAGTACTTCATTGGGGAATGGGTTAAAGCTGATACCTGTTTGTATCAGCTATTGTGTCACATAACAAGCAACCCTAAGGCCACCCAGTTGTTTAGAGTGGCTTGGTAGATGGCTTGGGCTGTGCACAGCAGGAATATTCTTAGTTGGCATCTGGGCTGGGTGCCAGGGAGGGTGGCTGGTTGGTTGCTCTCTACCCCAGGTCGCATCCCTCAGCAATCCAGGCAGGGCCTGTGCACATGTTGCCGGAGGCTTCCAGCAGGCCTCTGGCTCCAGTGCTTTTCAAGGCCCCACGTGTGTCAGAGTTGCTGGCACACAGGCAATCCCGTGGGAGACTCCAGAGGGGTAGGGCACTCAGTTATATGGAAAGAACCTAGAAGGCGATGAAGTGGGGGACATTGCTTTGCATAGTCTGCTGCAAGGCCAGTGTGTTTTTATTGCCAGGAGTCCCAAGTACGAGAGCAGCTTTTTTTTTTGTTTGTTTTTTGGTTTTTGGTTTTTGGTTTTTCTCCGGTACCGGGAACCGAACTCACGACCTTGCGCTTGCCAGGCAGGCGCTTTTGCCGCTGAGCTAAATCCCCAGCCCCGAGAGCAGCTTTAATGAGATAGAGTTGATTTACAAAAAACATGCATTTATTCATTTTTAATTTTTTGTTGCTTCTGTTTTTTGACACAGGGTTTCTCTCTGTAGTTCAGGCTGGCCTCAAACTTGGAAGGATCCTCCTGCCTCAGCCTTCCGAGTGCTAAGATTACAGGCATGCGCCACCACTCTCAGCCCTTGCATGTATTTAAAATACACAATCTGGTATGTGTGAGCCTGTGTGTAGACCCATGAAGCTTTGCCCACAGCCCAGCTATCCCAGCTGGACATGGTGCGTATACCTATAATCTCAGCTACACAGGACACTGAAGCGGGAGGATTTCAAGTTCCAAGCCAGCCAGAGCAATTTAGCAAGATGCTATCTGAAAACAAAAAGAGCTTGAAATGTAGCTCAGTATTACCTGTGCTTAAATCCCCAGTACTGTTGGAGGGGGTGGAGATACTGAGCCTCCCAAATTCGTATGTGCTTGGACTTTTCCTCAGTCCACCAGTGATCTGCTTTTGGGTAGAGGTGGATGACACTGTTCCTAGTGACTTGTTTTCATCCTGGAAGAACTCCAAGCATGTTTTCCTGTAAAGAATCGAAGCCGGATTCCCACCCACTAATTTCCTTTTCCTCCTCCCAAATCCCGAGGCCTTATCACTCCATCATGGTGGAAACGTACTCTGGAGCTGCTCACAGTGGCGGCCCCGTCTTCCATTTCTGTAGGAGATGAGGTGCTACGGAGATGTTAAGGGGCCCTTGTTTCGAGTCCTGAATTGTTTTGGAAACTATAAATAGCCACATAGGCCAATCTGGCGATGGGAATGAAAAAGAATGTGTGCAAGGCAAGGCAATTTGGTTCGCGATCCTGAGAAGGTGATCAGGCAGTTCTTCCAGGAGACAAAAGCCCCTTATTTTATGAGCTTCTAATTCCTTATGGAGCAATTCAGGCCCTAGGAACAAACAGTTCACGTCCAAGTGACCTCAAAAGCCCAAACCTAGCTAATTCCCTTGATTTCTCTTTTCTCCCAGGATATAGTAAACCCAACAAGTATAATCACTCCTGAACGCCCAGGGTAGGCTTCACACCAGGACTACCATTCCCTTCTCAGAGCCACATTTTTACATCTTTTCTGGGTAACGGGCACAGGATGGAGTCCATGGATGGCACCCTACGTGACAGATTGATAGGAGACTTTTTTGTAGAAGTATATGACCCAGAACTGGATTACTCCTATGTGACCCGTACTCCTGTGTGTTCCTGACTCTGGGTCTTCTAGTTTGGAATAGGATTTGTGGTACAGTTAAGTGATAACCCCAGATAGAGTTGGACTTAATCAGTAGGTGGGATGAGTGGTTGGGGGTTAGGGTTAGGGTTATTGGGGGTTGGACTGAGCCGTAGTTATGGAAATGTGTTCCTTAGTCCTTTATCTGATAAAAGGAATCTCAAATTCTATGCTTCACAGACTTAAGACCTAAGAAGTGTAGAACTCCTCTGAGCACAGAGGTCAACACAAGGGAAGATGGCATGTCTCTCCCCAAAACAATCTGCTGGGAGGGGAATTGGTAGGACAGGTTTGTTTCCGGTATCAGACCTTGGAAACCTTCAGACAACATATCGACAGATCAATTTCTGTCTATCATTATGTGCAGCTCTCTTCGCTTTTTCAAAATAGAGGTAGCAGTGCTCGTCACATGGAGTGACATGAAGATTAACTGAGTTAACCCACATGAAATGTGTAACTGGCGGCTGGACGCACTGAAGATGAGACAGATACTCAGTTTAGCAAATACTTAGAGAGACTCTTCCACAGACTACACATTGGAGATAAAAGGAGACATCAAGATGCAACAAGGTTTCTGTCTGGAGTTTTGAGACCACTGAAAATGTTCATCTGTGTATTTAATGTGTGAGTTTTGTCATTTATTCCAGACATAAGCCCTTTGGTGTGCAAGGACTTTGGACTACAGGCCAGTATCTTCGTTCCACTCTGGGGTCCTCCCCTTACTTGGTCTATGTTTCTCTTTCCTTTACTCTTCTGGTTCCTGATAGGTCACTGGTTCTCATAGAGGGAGAGTTTGCCCAAAGGGGCATTCGGCAATGTCTAGAGCCATTTGAGGTGGTAGTTACTTAAGCGGCGGGAGAGGAGGTTGCTAGTGGCATCTACTGAAGCTACAGATGCTGCTAAATGTTTTACAGTTCATAGAGGGTGGTCTGCACCAGAAATGAATTATGTGGCTTCAAACATCAATAGCACCCAAGTTCAGAACCCCTGTGGTAGCATAGCAGTTTCTGGTTCAGGAATTAAGGGAGATGGAAAGCACCCAGCTCCTGCTCTAAGCACTTCAGAACGGTCATCCTGTGGACGTGCCTGCTGTTTGCCCAGGTCACCAAGACCAAGCGCTCCACACAGTGATGGGAAGGTGAAACCTCCCCCCACTGAACTAAGCCTTTTTCCCTAGGAACAATCTGTGCCTCACCCTCAGATACCTGCTGGAGAAGAAGGCAGCTGGGCAGAACTTTCAAGGGAGCGGTATCTTGCCTCCAAGTAAATGAATAAATTCTATGTTCATAAATATGTCATGCACTGCTTACTCTGAATTACTTTATCAGATACTTCACACTGACTTTCTGTAATCACTCCATCACTCATTCACAAATGCACAGTCTGAGGCTGCTTAGAGACAGAGAATAAATGTCCTACTTAAGGGCAGAGATAGGACTCAGACATTGAAACCTGTCCTAGTCTAAATCCAGTGCTAAGACGGCTCGCCAGTCCTCAAGCCAACCCAAGGCAGATTGTAGTTTTGCACTCACTGTGCAGGAGCACCTGCCAATGGAGCCGAATCACCTGTAAAGGATGTTTTGTCCTCTCAGCTCTCTGTTGTAGGGGAGGCCATACTTGTCCATCTCCCGGTCCTATCCTTAGTTCTCTACTGGACTCCGTGGATCTCACCTCCAGCCTGCAGTTCTCCTAGGACTCTGGCGAGGGCCAAGCCCAGCACAGGGCATCTCGCATAGATGGCTTCCTGGATGCCCAGAGTCAAGACTATCAGGATACACTCGGCCCTATCCAACATGATCAGCCATACTAGTCAGTTTTTCCAACTTCATTCTGCTGCTGCCATACCCCTCCTTGCTCCTCACCCCATGACAGTGCAAACTATTAAAGGAAAATAACTGTTGGAGGACAGAAGGATTCCTGGCTGGCTGAGTGCAATCGCTAGAAGTTCATGCACTTGACCCCGATGTTCCTTATGATCTTGAGATAGCTGGTCTTGATATTGAGTGCCATACCAGTAGTGTTCTGCGCTCTTTTATGTGTAACATTTAATCTTCTCTAGAACTCCTCAGGAGAGGCGTTGCCATCCTTATTACACACAAGGGCATAGAGGCACAGAGAAATTAAGTAACTTGCCCAAGATTGCACTATTAGGAAATGACAGAGATTTGAACTCAGAGCCTCCTTGAACTTTATACTCTGTTGCCCCTCAAATACGAATTCCATGAGAACTGGGATGTGTGGGAGGGTAGGGGCAAGGTCTCTCCAAAGAGTTGACAGTTTTTGTTTGAACACTAACTTCTGAGAAGTAGCCAGATGTGAGGAATGTGGGGCTAAGCAAGAAAGGTAGCAAGTGGATTGCACTGTAGGTCCTTAATGCTTGGCTGGTACAGATTGACAAAGACCGGAGTTTCCTTTCTCTTAAAGTAGACTAAGTGGATTGCACTGTAGGTCCTTAATGCTTGGCTGGTACAGATTGACAAAGACCGGAGTTTCCTTTCTCTTAAAGTAGACTAAAGTGGGTTTCCTGAGGAAGATTTTTTTAATGAAAGCACCCATTTATCTATCTATCTATCTATCTATCTATCTGTCTATTTTATGTGGTTCTGTGTATCCAACCTAGGGTCTTGTACATGCTAGCCAAGGACTCTACCACTGAGTTACACTTCCAGACCTATAACAAACACCAAAGCAAAATTCATAAGTAAAATTTTACAGGGAAAGAGGGAAGTCAATCTAAGACAGTCCAGGTAACATACTTCCTATATGGAGACCAGGAAAAGTTTAGAACATAACCAAGAGGCAGCAATGTGCAAATACATGTTACTCTTGTCCTAGCTTCTCCCTTGTTATAGTCTTTGATTTGTTTTCTCTTCCCTTGATGGTTGTAAGAGTCTATCTTTCAAATAGTCTATTTTTCAAAGTCTAGGTACTGCTTGGATATTATTTTCCTTAGTAGGTGGTGAACCTTTAAATTTTTTTTGTGTGTGTGCTGCTGGGAATTGAACTCAGGGCCTTGCACGAGCTAGGCAAACACTCTACCACTGAGTGACACCCTCCAGGTGCTAATGAGCCTTTCGATATGTTACTTGTTTATGTTCAGTTCCAGGATAGTTTCTTCTAGTTGTTTCATGAATGGTATTTCTTTTTTTGTCTTCAGATTACAAAGGAATTTAGTGCAGAAATAAAGTAGTCATCAGAAGTCTGGATTTCTTTTGTTTGTCCTTAATTTCCATTATCTCACTGAGAACAAACTCCTGTACTGAAAAAGTCTCCTCAGAGCCCCCTTCAACTCCTTGTTCCTAAGGCTATAGATGAAGGGGTTCAGCATGGGGGCGACTACAGTGTACATTACTGAGGCTACTGAGCCCTCTCTGGAGGCATGGGCTGTTCCAGAAGTAAGGTAAACCCCAAGGCCTGTGCCATAGAACAAGGAGACAACTGAGAGGTGAGACCCACAGGTGGAGAAGGCTTTGCATTTCCCTCCAGGAGATGAGATTCTCATGATAGAGGTAACAATTCTAGAATAAGAATAAAGAATCCCAGACAGCGGGATAATACCCAGTAGGCCAGTTACACAGTATAGCAGAAGATCATTGGCAAAGGTGTCTGAGCAGGCGAGCTTGAGGATCTGAGCCAGTTCACAGAAGAAGTGGGGGATTTCAGTTTCTTTGCAGAAGGATACTCTCAAAGCCATCAAACTTTGCAACAAAGAATATGTCAGGCAGATCAGCCAAGAAAGCAGAAGTAGAAGGCCACAAAACCGCGGGTTCATGATGACCATGTAGCGCAGCGGGTGACAGATCGCCACAAGCCGGTCGTAGGCCATCACAGTCAGTAGCAAACTATCCAGCCCAGAAAAAATCATGAAAAAGTACATCTGTGTAAAGCAGCCTTCATAGGTAATGGCTTTATTCTGTGCCTGGATGTTCACCAGCATGTTTGGGACCGTGGTGGAGGTGAAGCAGATGTCCACAAAGGACAGGTTGGAGAGGAAGAAGTACATGGGGGTGTGGAGGCGGGAGTCAGAGCTGACGGCCAGGATGATGAGCAGGTTTCCTGTAACACAGACCAGGTACATGGCCAGGAACAGGCCACACAGAAGGGGCTGCAGGCCCTTCTCTTCTGAAAGTCCCAGAAGAAGGAAATTTGAAACAGCTGTCTGATTCTCCGGTTCCATGTAACTCTATGAAATTGCCTGGAAGGAGGCAAGCACGGTTAAAGCAAGAATGTGCCATGCCCTTCAAACCCACTTACTCATGGACCCTTATGTCTTATCTAAATGTTTTTGTTTTCTTTAGGTGACCATGATCTCTGTCTTCCGTGTGTCTAACACTATTGCCTAGATAATACTTTATCTTTAAAATGATCATTCTATATTATGCAAGAGGGTCTCTTACGCATCATTCTAACTTGTGGCTGTTCCCCATTTCTGAGGTATAATTCCTGAGCGGATGAATGTCTCCCCTCTGATTGTAGCCATGATCTCCTCAAGTCCGGGGTAGGCAGGGGAGAGGGGAGAGGTTGGAAAAATGATTGTTTTGTGTGGTGCTGGGGGAGGTGGACCCGGGGGCCTCATGAATGCTTAGCAAATGCTGAGCTACTCTCCAGCCCCTTAATAATGTCTTATTGTCCTCATGCTATTTACCAGTGACATGAAACGGATGACCTTTTGTCTCAAGTTTGATTCAGAAGATACTGTACAAAAGTATTGTAGAAATCACTCCATTGTTATGGGAACTTCTTCAGTCCTGTCCCAATTTACCCCTCTAGACTGCCCTCAGAAGCCCCGTGGGCCATACCCCGACTGTACAGGTGACCACTAGAGGTCAGACTGCCCTCTGAAGCAAAGGCCTCAGAGCTCAGACCCCTCCTACCAGCTGGTCCAACAGGAATGAGAGGGCCCGGGGCATACTCTGTCTTCTCCCTCTGGCCAGACTGTTATCTTCAAGGAGGAGTCCCACATAATCATGACTGCACAGGAAAAAGTAAACAGCCTATTGCTGGACACAGGTGCAAGTCTCTCAGTCCTTCTTTTCAATCCTGGCCTTCCTTCCAGCCGTCACACCTCAGTGAAAGGAGTCACTGATGAGGAGGTAATCCGCTATTTTTCACACCCCTTAGGCTGTAACTACTTGTTAGATCTTTCTTGCATATCTTTGTTTTCCTGAGAAACCACTTTGAAGATACCAACATGTATTGCAGCAGCCATTGATGATTTCCTACCAATCTGCCCATAACTCTGTAATGTTTCTATTGTTCCTATGCTATTTCATAAATGGATGTATGTTTATTACTATGTGTTTTCAGCAACAATCATTGAGAATAGTCAATGATCATTTAATTGATCCCTTATGTATAGCTCTATTTGTTTTCCCTAGCAACCACTTTGAAGAAACCAAAGTATAGTATAACAACCACTGATGATTTCCTACAATTTTTGTCTGTAACTCACTATTATTTGTCTATTTGTTTTCCTGAGAAGCTATCTTGAAGATACCAATAGGTAAAATAACAACCATTGATATTGTCCTATCCCTTTGTCTGTAATTTGGTAAATCCCCCTATTACTATGATATCCTTCTTTTACCCTTTTAAATAAATAAAAAAAAATTTACCCCTCTACCTCCATCCTGACGCTCTGTATGTCCACAACATTTCTCAATTTGAAAGACCAGCTCAGAATTCCCAATGGGATTCTAATTGTGCTCTGCACCTGTGTGTGGTAGTTCTTAAATTTATGTAAGTTGAGGCCACTCTACCTTTTCTATTTTCCTGTCATATTTCAAGTACTGGGTTCCACATCTATGGATTCAGCCAACTATGAATCAAACAGATTTGAAAAGTTGTCTGTATTGAGTGTATACATGTACAGATGTTTATCGGTCATTGTCCCCTCAAAAATTCAGCAGAACAACTATTTACATATGACTTGCTCTGTATTAGTATTACAAATCATCTAGGGATGATCTGAAGTATATTGGAGGGTGTGCCTAGGTTGTATGCAAATATTTTACCATTTTATATAAGGGACTCTAATACCCACGCATTTTGGTGGATCCTGGATGAGTCTCCTGCAGATACTTAGGAATGACTGTAACTAACGTGTTGAATGAATATTTGTTGAATGAATAAGGGAAGAAATTTTCCAGGTGGGGTAACTAACTCCCTGTTATAAAATCCCATTGGTCAGGGCCTGGGGTGTGGCTTATTTGTAGGGTATACGCTTAGCATGTTCAATCCCTGGCAGAGCATATGCAAGGCCCTGGGTTCAGTTCCCAGCACCAAAAAACAAAAACAAAAACATTTACTATTAGTTTGGGTCTGGGATTTAAATCCAGGGATGAGTTTACCATTGAGTTACAGCCCTAGTCCCAGAGACACCATTTATCAGGAAGGTTTTGCAGTCGACCGTGAAGAGCATGAAAGCCATTTACTTTTTTTTTTTTTTTTGGTAGCGGGAATCAAACTCAGGACCTTGTGCTTGCCAAGCAGGCAGTGTGCTGCTGAGCCACATCCCTGGCCCCATTACTTTTTAATTTATTTTCTCCATTAGAAAAATCACCTTGAGGGTGGGTGGTAGAGCTCAGTGGTACAGAACTAGCCTAACATGCACAAGACCCTGGTTTTAATCCCCACCACTACAAAATTAATCAATCAATCTTAATTTCTGCTTGAATATTAGATCTGTCCCAGAGGCAGTGATCCTTAATTTTATATATATGTTACAGAAGAGAATGTATCATCCTTTGAGCTGAAATATGTTTCATTTTATGTATTTGTTTATTTATTTATTTTGGCACCAGGAATCGAACTCAGGGCCTTCCGCTTACCAGGCAGGTGCTTGTGCCACTGAGCTATATCCCCTGCCCTTATATGTTTCATTTTTAACTTACATGATCTTAGCTCCTCTCTCTGGAGATCATTTCTGTCTGCTGTGATGGTCTTTACATACTTGGAGACATATAAATGATTGTCTGCGTTTCATCATTTATTTACTCCACAGTTATTTGAGTGCCCACTGGATGCCAGACCCCAGATTAGGACCAAGACTAGAAAAATATACACTCTGTCTTCCTGGACCCTTAAGTATCATAGAAATGTTGCTTGTAGCCAGGTGTGGTGGTGCACATCTGTAATCCCAGCACTCTCAAGGCTGAGGCACAAGGATTGCTGAGTTTGAGGCCAGCCTGAGCTATGTGGTGAATTCACCATTAGCTTGGACTACATAGCAAGACCCTGTTTCAAAAAACCAAACTAAAAAAGGAAATTTTGCTGTTTTGTTTTTGTTTTTACATTGTAATTATTAATGTGAATTTGTGTTTTCATACACATCAATGGATTATGAATGGATTTCACTGTGACAATTTCCTGCATGCAAATTTCATGCTTCGATCATATCCACCCTCCTTCCTGCTCTGTTTTATCTTCCCCTTCCCTCCCTCCGATCTGGTTCTCTTCCCTTTCCTCATTGCCCTCTGTCCTTTCTCTTCACTTTCCCCCAGCTTCCACAAATGAAAGAGAACACCTGATGCTTGTCTTCCTGTACCTGGCTTAACACGATGATCTCCATTTCCATGCATTTTCCTTCCAAGGAAGGACTGAATTTAGGAAACAATAAAACTCTGTTGTGTATATATGCACCAGATTTTCATTTTCTAGCCATACAGGGAAATGCAAATCAAAACTACGCTGAGATTCCTCTCACCCTAATTTGTCTATAGGCGAATCAAACACACAAACTTATATATCACATACTTCCTCTTACCTGAGAAGCCCAAAATAGAAATAAAGAGCAAACTAAAAGATAGATAATAGAAAGTAGGGAGACAGGTCTTTCTCAAATGGGAAAGGGATCAAAAGACAGAGGGAAGCGTTGGAAGGAGGGGAAGAAGATGAAAAAAGGAATCACCGTGTGTTATGTACACACACAAACTCCACACAAGAAGTGTAAACACAATGTACTGCACACATGTATTGATAATATCCATCAATCAACTGAAAAACAGCATACGGGTGAAAATGTGCTGTTGATGGGAATATAAACCAGTACAGCCACTATGCCAGTCAGTACAAGGTTTCCTCGAAAACCTGAAGATAGGATTACCATGCAATCTAGTTACACCCCTCCTGGAAGATACTGGAGGGAGGTGAACTCAGTGTACGAAAGAGGTATCTGCGTACCATGTTTGTTGTAGCACAAGCCACAACAGCTCAAACTGGAAGCATCCTATGTGAACAGACATAGAAAAATGTTGCTGCTTTTCACTCCTCTGCAGTAATTACTCTGGTTAGGGTACTGAGGATCCACTTGAGGAATATGGCCCACCTGCCCTTCCTTCTGCCCTCCCTTCTCTTTCCTGCTATTTCCTTTCCTATCTTTCCATTCCCTTGTCTTCTCATTTTTTCAATACTTGATTGAACGCAGAGATTTCATACTAAGCTATATCCTACCTCCTTTGTGTTTAGTGTTTAATATGAGACAGAGTCTCCCTAAGGTTCTAAATTGCCTAAGCTGGACTTAATGTTTCTCGTGTCTCAGCCTCCCAAAGTGCTGGGATTACTGCATGTGCCATCATGACTGACCTATTTTTTAAAAAATTTTGAGACAGGAGCTTTCTAAATTGCCCAGTGCCTCCTGCCTCAGTCCCCCAAGTACCTGGGATTTCAGGCATGTGCCACCACTATTGGTGAGCCATGTGATTTTTAAATGCGTTAGGAACACTAACTGGTCAACCCCAAGAAATAAGGTATTAACTCTGTTGAAAAGCATGAACTATGTAACATCTTATAATTTTAGGGCCATCCATGCAATTTCATAGCTCTGGTCTTTTGTACTAACAGCTCTCCTCACCCGGCATCCTCTTTCTCCCTTATTCATCTGAAATAGTTCCATCCTTCTTTCCACACTTTATCTTACGTCTTTGTTGATATTTCCGGGCAGTGAGAACCACTCAGTCTTTGGCCTCCCCTGGACCACACACGGAGCAGGCTCTTACACTGCATGCTTGAATCTGTGTCTGGATTTTCTCATCTTCTCAGGAAAGCAAGACATCAGCACTACCTCTATGTGCAGGGCATAGCTCAGTGTTAGCCTGGAGGACATGCTCTGTAGATGTGGGAATGTCTCCTCGTTCAGTTCAGCAGAGAGAGTATAATAAGGGAGGTACCTACACTCTGAGAGACAGAGTAAAAGCAAACAGACCGGGAGGTGGAGATAAGAAAGCAAAGCACAGAGGGGCTCAGGGTGTCCTGTCCAAAGCCAGGAACTTTTATTTCATCTCTATTTTCCCTCTGTCCACAACCTGCCTGTGCATACATAAAAAGCTTTGGGCCCCTCTTACCTTTTGCCACAGCACTCTTTGTACAAAGCTAAGGCATCACGATGACATTTCTGAAGACTGAGCCTATTGTCTTTGCTCCTCCCAAAGGTCACAAGGAACAGCTCTGGATGCCCACAGGGCGGGGACTAAGCTAAGCACAGGGACCCAGGAGCAGGCCAACACCTGGAGTGGCGCAAGGCATTTCCCTCTGGCCTGGGATAAATGAGCTGGGGGCAACAAGCACAAGGGGGATCATTGTGAAGAGCAAGCATCTTATTTCTCATTAAATTAATTGCTTTCTTGATAATCTGTTTCTGGAGCATTTCCCTCTTGGGGGTCATGCAGTCATGTATTCTGCTGTGTTTAGACCCTGGGGACAGAGGTAGAACCATGTATCAGATCCATTTCCTTCATCTCCTCCAGTCCCACATGCCAGCACTCACTGTTTTTTAAATTTTTTTTTTTTATTTTAAAGAGAATACAAAATAAAAAACATTAAAAATGATGCAGAATTTCAAAACAATATGATAGGAAATCAGCAATAGTTGTTATACTGCATATTCTTATTTTCAAAGTGGTTGTTCAGATTACCAGATATAGGCATGCAAAATTGATAAAAAAATTAAACATTAACTATTTCTTTCAATAAACCAATAGAAATTAGTAGTATAATTATCTTAGCTATCGTGTGTGTGTGTGTGTGTGTGTGTGTATTCTTTTTTTCCTTATTTTCTCTTTTCCTTCATCCAAGTTCTTCTTTCCTTTTGAACTGCTTCTTTCCCTTTCACTATATTTATTGTACCTTTTGAATTTTATTCACTCTTTCAGTTTCTTACACTAGGGAGACAATACAATGTTTACACACGTGGGTCTGATTTATTTCATTTATGAGTATGGTCTCTAGTTGCATCCGTTTACCTATAAAAGTCTCAAGTTTATCTTTCTTTATGGCTGAGTGGTACCTCCATCGTATAAAAATACCACATCTTTTTTATCTATTCCTCAGTTGATGGGCATTTGGGTTGTTTCCAAGATTTAGCTATAACAAATTGCACTGCTATAAACATGGGTACACATATATCGCTGTGGCATGATGTTTTCAGTTCTGGAAAAATACCCAGAGGAGAAAATCTAGATTGAATGGGACCTCTAATCCTAGTTTTTGAGGAATCTCCACACTGATTTCCACAGTGGTTGCACCAGTCTACACAACCACCAACAGAGGAGAAGAATTCCTTTTCCCTACAGCCCCTCCAGCATTTGTTATTGGTTGATTTCTTTTTTCTTTTTTCTTTTTTTTTTTTTCCTGTATGGGGAATCAAATTCATGACCTTGCACTTGCCAGGCAGGCGCTGTGCCGCTGAGCTAAATCCCCAGCCCCTTGGTTGATTTCTTGATGATAGCCATTCTTCCTTTTGAACAACCTATCTCAGTGTTGTTTTAACTTGCATTTCTTGAATGACCAATGATGTTGAACATTTTCTCATATATTTATTTGCATTTGTATTTCTTCATCTGAGAAGTGTGTATTCATCTCAGATGCCCATTTTTGATTGAGTCTTTGAATTTGAGGGGCTTGATTTTTAAAAATTCTCTATATGTTCTAGACAGAAGTCCTTTGTCTGAGGGTCAGCTGGCTAAATTTTTTTCCCAATTCATGGGTTTTCTTTTTATGTTGTTGGTGATTTTTTTTGATATGCAAAAACTTTTCAATAAGGTGAGATCCCAGTTGTTGATTCTTTGAAGTATTTCCTGTGCAGTTTGGTTTTTGTTCATAAACTGTCTGCCTACCCCTATGTCTTCAGGGTTTCACAGACCCAAGGATCAATGGAACAGATTAGAAGATGCAGACACAACTACAAACATATTCAACCACCTTATCTTTGACAAAGGGGCCAAACATGTTCCTTTGAAGAAAGATAACCTCTTTAATCAATGGTGCTGGAAAAACTGGCCCTCCACATGCTGAAGACTAAAACTAGACCCATGTCTATCACTATGCATTAAACTAAAGTCAAAATCGATCAAAGATATAAATATTAAAGCAGAAACATTAAATCTACTGGAAGAGAAAGTAGGTAGAAATCACTAGTTGTGTTGCTTTTTTTTTGTTTGTTTTTTGTTTTTTTTCCCCGGTACCGGCAATCGAACTCATGACCTTGCGCTTGCCAGGCAGGCACTGTGCCACTGAGCTAAATCCCCAGCCCCCGCTTTTGTGTGTGTGTGTGTGTGTGTGTGTGTGTGTGTGTGTGTGTCTTTCTAACACAATTCTTCTATTGGATGTGGACCCACAGGACCCAGGACCCAGTTTCCATTCAGGAACATCTTTCTTCTCTCCAGTTTCTTTACTAAATTTAAGCTTTAAGATATACCATTGCTCAAGGCTTGCTTAGTGTCCAGAGCCTAAAGAGATTTCTAAAAAAATTCTGAAAGAAGAAATATGTTTATACTACCATATCAAATGATATATTTTTCTCTAAGAGCAACTATAAGATTAACACAGAATAAATGATAGAAGTTAAATACTCTATAAATAATAAGGGAATCAAAGAGTGAGAACAACCCTGGGCTAAATTGTTAGTTCCACACACACGCAAAAAAAGTGAGGGCAGACTCCCCTGAATGTTGAGGTTTTTTTTTTATGGAAAAGAGGTAAAACAAAATTTTATAACAAGATAGTAGGAGAATAACAATAGCTAATACATTACATGCTGCTATCTTTAAAGTAGTTTCTCAGGGTACAAAACATGGGCATAAAAATTTCTTCAATCAATATTAGCACAAACCTTCCCTTTTAATGAACAAAGAGATACTAGTAGTATAACTGATTGATATTTTTTCTTTTTCCCCCACTGTCCCTTCCCTTTTCATCCAGCATAGTTCCTTTTTCCTTTTGACCACTTCTTTTCATTCCACAATATCTATTGTATATTTTAGATCTTATTTTACTCTTTCAGTGTCTCACACCAGGGAGCCAATATGATGTTTACCTTTCTTTTCCATGACGTAAGAAAAATTAGTAGTAAACTATCTTAACAACACATATAAAATGTATATTTTATATATATGATATGTGATTTATATATCATATTTATATATAATATCACATACTTTATATCTATATCTCTATATATTTGCTTTTCCCTTCTTTTCTCCTTTCCCACATCCCAGTTTATTTTGCCTTATGAACAATTTCTTGCCATTTTACAATATCTATTGTACATTTTGGATCTTATTTACTCTTTCAGCTTCTCACACTAGGCAGTCAGATGTTTATACATGTGTGTCTGGTTTATTTCACTTATGATTATGGTCTCAAGTTGCATCCATCTGCATATAAAAGTCTCAAGTTTATTCTTCTTTATGGCTGAGTAATACTCCATTGTATAAAAAACTGCATCTTTTTTTATCCATTCTTCAGTGGATGGGCATTTGGGTTGCTTCCATGATTTAGCTATTACA